ATGATAAAAGTGTGCTAATAGGCGTCCTTTGCTTTGTTTATTTTACATTTGACAGCATCGGCAATAATTCCCTTGCCACTCCTCCCTGGGTATTTTTAAAACGCGGGGTGTCACGTGACCAGTCCCAGCCAGGGTCTCTCCGCAGCTTGAGGGCGTGCGAAGGTAAGAGCCTGGGTACGAGGTTGATAATATCCTAGCCTGCGCGGCCAACCTCGTACCCAGGGCTTCTGCGCTTATTGCTCTCAGAAGCCCTGGGATAATCCAAACCGGAACACCATAGAACAGTGGTGCCCCCGGAAGCGGAAGTAAACAGTAGCTCCAGCTAAAAACGCTGACTGGGCATATTTTTACGCAAGGAGTGAGAATGGATTATTTGTTGCAATTTATGATATATTTGGACTTGTAAAGACGTCTTAAACTGCTTCTCGCGTGGCTTTTGGAATTTAAAGTCAGGAATGATCAATTTAGAGATACAATTTTGCGTAAAATTAGCCCTTTGGCGAGCAAAAGTACATCTTATATCGCGACAACAGCATACCTTGTCAGCGATATACAGCCTGGGCTATTCAATAATTAAAGTATAAATATTTATATTCGAGTACAACCTTGGTTATTTCAAAATTAACAGACTAGAAATCTTACTGGTAACATGGCTGGCTGCCGATTATCTTGGATTTGAGGGTTTTGAACAAGATATTGCAAGATTTAATTATAAATGCACAAGATATATATACTGTACTGTAAACATGCATCTACTTGAAGAATGTAAAATGAACAGTGATGAGGGATGTAATATAATTCTGTACTTTAATATTTGGAAAACCTTTTTGGCAAATCTTGAGAATAATGGCTTTGGGAATCAATGTTGAAAATTAAAAACTGTCAGATAGCTGCATGGACATCATGGTTAGAAGCATACATGTCATCGGATGAAACTCCAACTTTTGTTAATTGCTGATGTTCTAGTATTGGAATGAACAGTGTTATAAGAACCAATGGTGCTGAACTAATTTGGGTTTATTATAAAATATTGTTTATCATTTAGTTCTGGCCATTAACCTTACCTATTAAGTTATACATTGTGTCTTACTTTTTATTTTACTCTGGTGTGCCCCCCCCAGGCTCTGGTCAACAGGGGTGCATGGGGGGGGGGGGTGCAAAAATGACGTTTATCCTAATTCTAACCGACTTATGTTAAGGAATTCAGTTGCGTATCACTAAGTTGACAATAGTGGAATAGCCAATATTAAATATTCTGAATTTTTAAATGTTTTGAGAATCTAAAAATTTTCCAGAATGTTTTCTCAGAATGCTGGAAATGCCATTTCAGAGACCCAAATTTTAAAAATTTTCCGTGGTAGTATGCCCCCGGACCACCCTAGAAATCTCATGCCTTCGGCGCTCGTTTCGCCATTGGTTAGCACCCCCCAAAAAAACTTTGCTGGATCCACCACATGATTTTATATGTTGGGATAGATCATTGGTGTTCAATGGATTATCTCATAATACACACTAGTTTGTTAACCTACTCTGTCCAATCATGCTAACACTATCATTGGCAATGGAATTGAGCTGTGATGTAGCCAGGATTTCTAATTAAGGCCTTCAAGGGGGACTGAAATCCCCAGGAGGGGCCTGCATTAGTTTGAATAAAGTTTGTTAGTATGTAAAATATATATTTGGACTCCCAAGCTTTCCATGTATAATATAGTACAATGTAGACTTTTTAAATTCTAGTTAATAAAGTGCCATTTTGGGGGGCTATTTTAATGTGTTTTGGTGATTTGAAATAACCTTGCAGTTAACACATGTTCAACTCTAATTAATTACAAACAAGTTCAGAACATTTAAAATATTTTGCCCCCCCCCCCACACCCCCTCTGGTTACACCACTGGGATTGACTTGAGCCTTTTAGACCTCTGAATTTTAGTTGCAACTTAGAACAGTGTTCTGACATACAAGAAAATTGTAAGAAAATTTAAAATTTGTGCAAAAGCATTTCTCAAATAGGTCGTGCCAGAAAATATCCACACTCCCCCCACAGAGGAAATTTCTGCCGTTCAGAGGGGGAGGGGGGGGGGAATTGTTTCTGATAATAGTAAATGTATTAGGACATCCAAAGGGGTAGAAGGGATTAACTTTCAATTTCCTCTGTGGGAGTGGTATGGGTGTTTTCTGGAATGACCCAATATAACTGTGTTTTTTTTTTCAAATCTAATCAAACTGTCAAATTGTCAATCCTTGTACATGGGGAGGGGAAATTATGGAGAAAGAAAAATTGTGACCAATCAGGTTGGGGGTCCACCTGTAGGCCTGGTCATAGGCATACAGGGCTGGGCTCAATTGTTGGGCAGACTAGGCCAGTCGGGCAATATTTACTTCACAGTTGGGCAATATTGGCTTATTATAAAAATAAATATGAGAAATGATTCCCTCAATATTGGGGGAAATATGCTATATAATGGTCGAAAATTTAGTTCATTTTGATTAATAGTCATTTAATATATGTGCTATCAACAGTTTCTTTATGGTATTAAGTAACAGATTACAATGTTTGTACATTAGAGATTTAGAAGCACTAATAACTCAATAATAAATAGGCACTAACTCAAACTCTGAGCCAGTGCACCCAGCATCCTCAAATTGGGAATAATTTGTAAATTTAAATATTTGTGTATAATTAATAATTTATCCTATTCCAATACAAAATGCAACAATATAGAACACACAATTTATCAAATAAAGGTAAAAAGGTATTAAAAACTTTATTATGTAATATTTACATTGAATATCGTGGTTGAAGTTGTAGATTTATACTTGAAATTTCAATTTTCGAACGAGAAATGTTTCGCTTTATTATGTTAATTAAATTTTTTACTTTGTTCGCCATTCTTGCTTATTTACAAATACAAATAGTCCATTTCTTCTTTTGCTCTTTTCAAAATAGCCCAGAATTTGGTTCAAAAAAGTATTTTCATGCAAAAACCAGCATTTAACTTTTGTATACACTCCTTGTGATAGCAGCCATGTTGCCAAAATATCACCCGGTTAATGAATAACTTCCGGTACTTTCATTGTATTCGCATTGACCAATCAAATCACGTTCTGAGTTGGATTATCCCAGGGCTTCTGAGAGCAATAAGCGCAGAAGCCCTGGGTACGAGGTTGCTGCGCGGCAGGCTCAATGGGTAAATGAGAGCCTGCAACAATCTCAAGGAAATTTGATCACCGCCCACTAATTACTATGATAATTTATTTCCAATCCAACCAATCATATTCTCTGAAATTCGTGCGCGTGATGCAGTGTGAGTATAACTAATATACTTCTAGAAGTTACTATTGCAAGGAAAGTGCTGGGCAGCATGTACAATTTTCTGAATAAGAGGCTGTTTTTATGATCCCGCTTTGCCAGGATGAGATATGAGGCGGGATGATTTAGATGTATTTAAATAAGTCACGGTGCACACTTCAGCAAAAAACTTCATTATTTCCGAGAGATAGCAATAGTTACCTGTAAACTGAAAGGTTGTTCAAGCAGCAATAATCTTCATGAACTACAAGATCTGCTCTCCAACTATTGAGTTCTGTTAACCAGCATTTGAACTTTCGTTTAGCCTATGGACGTATTTCAATACATCAAAATCATCCCACATTCCATCATGTAAACAGCCCCGAAGATGCATGTTCAGGAGGTAGGAAAAGTGCAATTTGAATACCAAACATCTTGCACAAAGTCAAAGGCCAGATAAATATTCTAATTCTACTTTCTTGGCATGGGCGATTTTATATGGATTCCTTCAATGCGTATAATTTCTTGCTTTTGTATGTATAATTATAATACTGTCAGCACTGGTGAAGCTAGCCGTAGTGACAGGTCGTGATATGGTTTTTAATGATTTGCATTGCAGGTCTATTAGCATACCATGACAAGTTGCCATGGCTAGCTTGCCACTCAGTACTGTACAATAATAGTCATAATACCAGATGTATAAACAATAATAATACTTGAATGAATCATTGGACACATAGAATTTAATAACAATTTCATATATACAAATACTAAGTCAGTTTTTGTCACACTGAAACGAGATTTCTAGCGTTTTGGAGTCACTTGTAAAGTTATAGTACAATGTGCTGATATTAAATCCATTTTTAACCATGTGAGAAATCCGCTAAGAAACAAGGTTGTGCAAGTGTGATAAAGCACGTCAAAGTTGTTAATTAATTATATTAGTTGTTAGCTATATTTAGTTAGATGCAATGCTATGTCTACAACTTTTATAATGGGGATCAGGCGAAAAACTACAAAAATGGAGTCTTTTTGCTTAATACTTTACTATATTCGAACTTTTGAAAATGGTAAAATAAAATTATCTTGTTTTAAATCTTAACTTAGTCGTTAAATTATAATTAGTAAATTACGATTATGTCGATGAGCTCAATAATTGATGTATAATAGTTTAAAATATATTATCACCTTACTTACTGTAAATACACTTATACAGTATAGTATCTTCCACTTTCAATATATATAATTAAATTTATATGCATGTTCAACCTCGTACTCAGGCTTTTTCCACTACACGGAAAGAGCCTGGGTACGAGGTTGATGCATGCTAATGTTTTATTTTATATTTGTTATATACTTTTATCCTTATTCAATATAATAATTCGAACAGACCAAATATAAAAATGAAATAATGTAATTATAGGGGCCCAAACAAAAATAAGCAAAATGAATTATTGTCTCATTTACTGCAGCTTGCCAGTTAGAACAGGAAGTGAATACGACCGATAGTGCCTTTATGTAAACGTTTGTAAATTACATGCACATGTACCAATTTGAATTCAATTTGAATAAATTTTAGTATTCACATAACATATGCGATGTCAGTATTTGCTCCCAGCGGCTACAAAAAGGTCATACGTTGTACTTCATCTTATTAAATGTCTTCGTTCCAACAACAATTCTGGATGAATAGCATAGCATGCATTAGGTTTTTAGATTACCAAGAAACAAAATTTCATTAAACATGTTAAAAAGTGGGGGATAATTAGAAATTCGTCCCCCCACTCCAAAAACTGGGGTGACGCAACCCCCTCCCGGCCCAAGCCCTGGCTACGCCTCTGATTTTGTCTCCCATCGGCAGATTGTTCAGTTGTTCTGCAATTGGGGTAGCCTTGAAGGTGCAATTAAAACAATGATTGGACAAAAAATAAAACAAAATTCGGGTAGCATACCACCGGACCTTCCTAATTTGAAGTACTTTGGCGTCTCGAGCCACTGGCGGCTTGGCCCCAGCTGGGTTTTTGCTGGCTACCCCTGACCAAAAATCCTGGCTACGCCTCTGCAAAATCTACAGTATTTGGTGACATTTTTGTTTAATACGTCAGCTTCAGATGACACCATTGATTTGTAAAGACTAATATTGTACACAGTCAGAACTGCAAAACTATATAAGAAAGAAATTGTGAGCATTATCAAAAAATATAGTATATCCTGAAATGCGGTGGTGATCGACACAGCCAGGTGAATACATGAATGAAGGCCAATAGGATTATTTCCTATTGTACTAACAATGGACATATATCTCAGAGGTATATTTTTAAAGTTAATATATGCAGACAACAATCCACACTGGGTTGCTATAGGAATATATAATTTTTATAATATTTATATTATAAAGCCTGATTATTAAGACGTATACACAACATTCTGCGTTTAATACAATAATACATTATACATAGAGTTTGTGATGTATATGCTACATTAATAAATGAAATATATTTAAAGTTAAATCCTCTTAACCGTGGAGCTAAACATTTATAGCCATGGGTGCATTTTTAATATGTATGACTATGTATAGGCGTATACACAGACATATCTCATTAACAGTGTATGAATATATATATATATATATATATATATATCAAAATAAATATATATATATATATATATATATATATATATATATATATATATATATA